GATAGTGAGGTATAGGTGGAAAAGAATTGGTAGAAATCGGCAGTGTGAGATGATAAGCTCCTGAGAGAGAGAGAAAATGAAGACATGAGAAGGCAGAAAGAGACAGTCACAGAAATATAAATGACTGACAAAACAGCTCCAAAACACAGGGTGTTGATTATCTCCTGTTCACATTAGAGCCCACACAGACCATTAGATGTGAGCCCAGCCTGAATCAATTTGAAAATTATCTATTCAAGAAAATCTTGAGTGGCAACCACACAGCACTCAGCCTTTAACCAACACAATGCAGGTTGTTTTCTGTCATCTTCGAGGGAGAAAGCGGGGAGGTGAGGATGTGTGAGAGGGCTGCAGCGTCTTGTTAGGATGGACGGACAGGTGGGAAGACTGGCAGAGATGGGGTCGGGAAATATTCCGAAAGGGTGTGGTGGTGGTGGTGGTGTTGTTTTAGAAACAACGTAGGAGAGAAGGAGAAAGGTCTGGAACAAGGGAGGGAGATGGAGGAAGAGTGAAGCAAGGCTGGCACTAATGACGGGTGCGCCCAGGGCCACACGAGTACAGCTGTCTCCCCTCCCAACTTCAGCGATGTCAGATCGGCATAATAAAAAACCCAGTGTGTGGGTCTGAGCTAGCAGCAACAGCTGGGTGGCTTAGTGTAAGAAAATAACAGCGAGCAAGGGAGAAAAGAACAGCGATAGCAAATCATCTATGTGTTGAACTTGTTGACTTTCTTGAACAATTCCCAGGCAAGCGTAGTTTAGAAAGGCGCTTCTTGTGAACACTTCATTGTTATTGGCAGCCTCTTCTTGGACAACCCTCTCTGCTTTGATTGGGCTTCCAAAGGATGATGTCAGAAAGTGTCCAGAGTGCTCTGAATCACACATGCGAACACCCTACTCACCACCTCGTCTCTTTGTTTGTGCCCTTTGTGGCCTCGCGAAGAGGATGTTCTTATAAACACAACATGATGTCAGGCACGCTTCTCCATTCCTCGTGTCACACCCAGTCCCTTATCGCTGATGCCGTACGCCCAGGTCTTACAGGGCTTAACCCAGAACACAGGAAGCTCAAGGATCGCCTCTGCAGAACTTGATCCTTGCATATTATCTTCTCTTTTATTTGATGGACCAACATGTAGGAGGATATCTGCCTGTCTGACTCACTCCTTGTCTGTCTGACCACCCCCACCTTCTTGCCTGCCTGCAGTCTCATTGTGTCTCTCGCTGTCTATTTCTCCTCCTCTCTTGCTTGTGTTTGTCTTAATCATTGCTGGGGTGATGTGGGCCAGGCACAGCCACTGGATAATGTGATTAGAAGGGGCTCAGGCGCAAAGTCTCTCCTCTGATCATTTCAGTCACCTGGGACTTAAGTCCCATTTGTTGTGTGGAAAAGAGCCCTACTAAAATCTTCAGACGTGTTACTTATGGTACGTGAGCTTCACGTTGTTGTTAGCCTTGTTTTCTAAATGTTTGTGGGTTCAGAGCAACGGCCAAAAGGGAATAAGGGAGTGGGCATGGGCTAGGCCTGCATGTCTGTTGCAGTTTAAAGTGCTCGTATGTGTGTGTGTACATACATATAAATCTGTGATTGCCTTGCGTCCGAGGATGCTGCGTGTGTTTTTCAGGCCTCCAGAGGCTCCACAGATGAATGAACCATTGGATCAGGTAAGCCAGGCGTTATTCCCCCAGCATGTGCTGCAGTTGGCCGTAGGGATTTTTTGATAGTGTGTCTACCAGGCCGAGAGAAAGTAAGGAGAGGAAGAGTGGCTCTTGTCAGAAAAAAAGATGAAAAGGGTTTAGATATGACAAGCGTGTCATTAATCGCAAGATTCTCCAGGCAGTATTTGTGTATCTACCTGCACTCAGTGGAAGGAACCAAAGGAATGGAATGGACTAGCCAAGGGAATAAGAGCGTGTGTGTGTGTGTGTGTGTGTGTTTAGTTCTGTGTTTCTGCTGCAGCTTCATTATTGCCCTATTCACTATTCCGTCTGTCGTTCCTGGCCGGGTACCATCACCCCCTCTGGCAGCTACATCCATGACAGGTACAGAGGGAGAGAAAGCACTCTGTATGAAGCAAATCTGTCACAGTGCTAACTAAAACATGTCATTGTGGTAGTGCTGTGTGTCTAGGTGCACTCATGTGCATGCCTGTACAATGTGGATAGCTGATTGGAATTCAGGTTGTTATATGGAAGGGTTTATTTCATAGCTTTAGAGAAGGAAGGAGCTTTCAAAGAGTCGGAACAGCCGGTGTGTCTGCAAAGTGGGGAAATCGGGGGAAAGATGGGGAGAGGAATCAAGGCACAGCTGAACTATGAAACACTGCGAAATGTGTTCACGTCTGTGAGTCTGTGTGTGTTCCTGTTCTCTAGGGAGCCAACTCCTCTCTCTGGACTTGACTGAGCCCACCTGAGTCTCTCTCCCACCCCTCCAGCTGTTTCTCTCCATACCCCCAAAATCTTCCCCCGTCATTCCCAATCTCTATCCTCCAAATTTACTAGTTCCCAGTCTGTATCAACAATTCCTGTGCCACTCAAGCAAGCTTTTTAACAGCACTCCTGCAGTGTTGTAAAGTTTGTTTGTTTTGTATTTTTTTTTTTTTTTTTTGCCTGACTGTGATTTGAATGGGATATTGATGTGATTTATGGATAACCATGCAGCAAAGTTAAAGTTGAGCTTCAGCATAGATATTTTATGACTGTTCTACTTTGCACCAATGACTCTTGCTCCATGTTTTCTACAGAAACAGCTCCAGCTTTTAGACTGCGCCACAAGCAGAGCAGTAAATTCCCATATAAGGCAGAAGGACCCTTTCTAACCTCCTTCCTCCACCTCCTCCACTCTCTTATACCCCTTCACTCCTTCAATGCATCTAGCTCATACTGTCTTTTCATTTTCACCCCCTTTTCCTGTGATCGTTTTCTACTGCTATTCGAACGCACACTCAAATGTCTTCTAGAGGGCTAGAACAATAGTTCTGTGTCGTATGGTTGTTTTGTTTCGAGTACCAACCACTTGTGATTTTTGCATCAGCCGTACATTGCAATAACTACCTGCCTGAGCATCTGCATTGCTGGATATTTTTTCCCATAGGCTCTACAGTACAGCAGAAATTACACCAAAGCTGCAGATCAAGCCTCACAAATCCAATGGGAGGGATGAGGAGAGTGGGAAGCAGAGTGGGAGGTAGAGATGGATTGAAGGATGAAGATAGTGAAGACAGAGAGAGAGAGAAAACACAAATAGAGCTGATAAGACCTTCAGCAGAGGAAGTGTCATTCTGGGCCAATCCCCTGTGGACTCCCAGTATCCCTCTCTTCGCCTGCTGCAGGATGTGTCCTCGTGTGGGAATACACAAGGAATGTGGCCCCTTTTGTTTAGTGTGTGATAGGCTCCTGGTTGGCGGTCATTTGTGTGTCTTATGTGTGACAAGCTCCAGGCTTGGCAGAGGCTGATCAGAGCAACACTCCACAGTCCTTTCTGGGTAAGACCCTCCTAGGAAAACAATGACTGGTCCTTGTGGCTGCTATCTTTCAAAGCCCCTCCTTGGCTCATAGAGCACTTGCTCCCTGTGGGTTTTATTCATAAACTACGCATTAGACAAAGAGCTAAGAAGGCGTCTACATCAGTGGTTACCAGCATTTTATCTGTTACATGAACTCCAGTGTCCCATCGCTCCAGTTCCAAACATGTTTATTGGAAGTGATTTGGAACTAGTCTTTCAGAAACATTTCGGCAACCATTTTTATGCTAGTTACGTAAAAATAAAGTCGGAAAACTTAGTACAGCCCATGATTCAGTAGCTTGGAAAATCACATTAAGCAGCAATAACTTGCAGTGTCTCACATCATCGCGGAGGAATTTTGGACGACTCTTCTTTACAACATTGCGTCAGTTCATTGAGGGTTGCTAGCATTTGTTTACGCCCAGCCCTCTTAGGATCACATCACAACATTGTCAAATCAGTGACTGCACGGTGCACTGGTGCTGTGGCTGCAAAACAAGCTCAAGTCATCGCGACTCCACCACCGTGCTTGAGGAGTTTGTGCTGACATGCTGTTTTGTTTTCACAAAACATGGTGCTGTACATCATGGAAAAACATCTCCACTTTGATCTCATCTGCCCGAACATCGTACCAGAAGCCTTGTGGTTTGTTCAGATGCAACTTTGTAAACCTAAGTTGTACTGCCATGTTCTTTATTTCTAAGAGTAGAAATGTTCAAAAGCATTCCAAACAATTGTAATTGTACCATCATGAACTTTAACATTCAACATCAACTGAGGTTTCGAGAATCTCTGATAAAGCTTTGAGCACTGCACAAGGAAAGCATTTATATTCAACTATATTTATAGACCTTCACATTGCTAATAATCGATAAGGGGTATTGATTATAAGCATCTGGCTATGTCTTTCCCTTTTACTTTGTTTTTCAGTTCCATAAAACTGTATTTCATAACACACAGAGGCTTCCCCGAGGCTAATTAGTACACAGACCCATTTCTCCAATTTAAGCCAACATGTTGTAGAGTTGCTAACCTGTACCTGGTTGGTACTCAGTAATTTAAAATAAATGGGTTTAATCAAACCAGCTTAGTATACAAAAGAGATATCTCCAATTCATTCAATGTTCGCCTGCATTAAAAATGTTTCTCATTTCATTCACTACACTATAGCTAATTCAGAAATGCACACTAGGTTGAACGTTTCTTTGCAGGACCACAATTTCAGTGTGGATTGTTCACCCCACTGCAGAACTGTAGTTCTCTTCGCCCAAGGCGTTAACAAAAGAACAACTCCTGAAAGGTCTTTAAATAGATTCTCTAAAACTGTCGAAGCTTACCTTGGCCTTTTACGCAATAATACGTCTACACACAAAGACATTTGGGCTCCAGGCTACATCCTACACTCGGATTGCTAAAGGAACATGATTTCTTTATGAGAGCTTACTGGGCAAGAAAGAGATTCGGACATGAGTAGACAGAAAAAAAGAAGAAAAAAAAAAGGCAAGGTGAGGTTTATTGAAGAATTCATGACAGTTTCTTTGCCTCTCGGTAGCCCTCGTGTTGACAGTCTTTTGTTAAAACACAGTGATGCACACATTATTGTAGAAGTCAAGACTCAGCACCTGAACGTGCTTTACATTAGATATCAAAAAGAAGCTTTTATCATAACTCTGAATAAAAGAAACAAAGGCCATCTTTGGCACAAAAAATGAACATGATGGGGAAAAAATGCACCTTTTTTGTGTTTTTAAATTACCAATATTTGGTAACTGTTGGAGTTCTTGTCATAGTAAAAACCAAAAGATTGCAAACAGATGTCACTTCATTTTGATTGAATGAATTTGCTTTTGGAAAACAATCACATCTTTGGTTCGGTGACCTATTTCTAAGATTCACAAATTCTGTAGTTAAGCAAAACACAGGCAAAAAGAGGCAGGGGAGTGGTGAAGAATGGATGTTTAACAATTTGTTGTTTGATATGTTTTCCTTTCTTAACTATTTAGAAAATCCCTGCTGTAAAGATGTGGCCATTTCTCCATAAAGTATGAAACGTTTGGCCTGAATTTGAACAAAATCGCATCAATTACAAGACAAATTCCCACCCTGACCGAGACGATCGGGCTCGATTCGTCAGCCTTGCGTGGAACAGCTGCTGTGCTCTGGGTAAAGGATCCCTAACATCAACACACTGCATTGTCTGCCACAGAACATGCCCACATGTACTGACATTTAAAAATAAAAAGTGAAACAGACAAATGTGTCATCGCAACTTGTCACCAAGGACGGAAAGAGTGATAGACACTGTTAGTGGGTACTTTTTCCCCCTCCCTTTGATAGACATCACCTTGGTTTAAACGGAAGGGCGTTTTCTCAAAGTGAAGTCAAGCCCAAGACTGCTTTGCTTTCAATCAGAACCAGTGATGGTGAGTCAGACACAGGGGTGGGCTAAAACAAAACTGAAAAGGGAGCCAGGGACACTCGCTGAACTCATAAAACTGTCTGTCCTTACAGCCAGGCAGTTCACATCACAGTGTGTGTTTGTGTGTGCCTATATACTGTATATATTACCCTGTATTAGGAGAGACTCCCTACCAGTGAATAGAACACTCAAGTGTCTTCAAGTTTTCTCCTTTACTGCTGCTCTGCTCACCTAAACACTTGAGTTTTAACGCAAACATGCTGACGTGTGACAACCAGCAAAGCAACTGCCACTGTGTGTTAGATCTACAGGACTAGCTACCTGCATTCAACTGTTACACACAAAACAAAAGAGAAAAAAAAAATCGCATACAGACTTTTTTCTTCTCTGAGAGAACCATGTGATGTACATTCAGATCACTCCTCCACCTTGGTCTGTTGTTCGGCGCCCGGGGAGTGTGAACTCTGTCTCAGTGTCTGATCTTTGTGCTAAAAGAAGGCGACACCGCGGTCAGTCACACAGGAAACTGAAAAGGCAGACAACCACACATCCTGCCTGAGCTTTGGAAGAAACACTTCCTCCTTAAAAGTAGCAAGTGCAAGTACTAAAGCTCTCTCACGTGAAGGCAGTGAGGCGATGCCAAGAGATAAACATGATACTATATACGTATCCGCAGAAGTTTAAAGCCTAATATGGCAGATGTGTGCTCAGATGTCTCTGTAGGTGGGCGAGGTGGGGAACGACACATTTTCACCGTGATCTTTGGAGAGAAATTACATTCACAAAAATTTCAAGTGAATTAAACAGAAGTAACAAAGCAACATCAATAGCCTGAGGCTGCGCGTCCATCGCAGACACAAGTTTGAAGATATCAAAAACAACGCGATCTTCACTCCAAGATCAAAGACACTGGTAATGGCTATAAGTTGACCCTGAGGTCCAAAAGATTATTTGCCAATAGGCACCTTCTGTTCACTACTTTTGTAGTGTTGCTGAGAATGAAAGTAGTGCTCAAAGAACAAAAAAAACATTGCAGGAGCAGATCCGTTTCTCACTCTCACCAAAAAAATCTCAGAAGTGAAGGATGGTGTGCATCTTGATCTCACCTTCAAACTGGCAGTGAAATGGATGAGACGAACAGTGGCTCCAATGCACTATGGGAACGGTCTGTTTGCTAATACAGATGAAACTCTCCTCCCACTACGCTATTATCTTCTGACGAATGTCACATAGATATTTCCCTATACAGTCTGCGCGTCTCCACTTCAGACAAAACACATTTAGAAAGAAAAAAAAAATAGTGTACAGCTCTTGTACAGCATTACAACAATGCGGTGGAACTCAGCAGCTTTCCACAAAACAGTCTTCATTTGTTCATTTTGGTATCTGCCTGTGCGTCTGGCCCACAGCAGCCGGCACCCTGGTTGCCATCAGGGCTTTTTGGCTGCTGTTTTGGCTTTCCCGTTGGGCCCTGTTTTGATCTGGGTCATCTCTACATCTGTCAAGGCATCAGGAGGAAGGCACGAGCGCATGCGTTCAATGGTTCTCTGGTAAGCTGCCCTCTCCTGCTCCAGAGAGCGAATCATGTGCTTCATTTTGCTCTCCCGAGAAAGGAAGTTCTCCATGCTCGTCTCCAGAGTCTGAATCTTTTGCCGCGCAGCCTGGAGGACACAAACATTGTATGTTAGAGCACACAGAGTACAATGTATAGACTAACATTTAAACAGGAGGTGAAACTAATACAGGTTACAAAATACAGTTACAAAATCTCAGAACTAAACTAAAAGTCTAAAAAGGAAGAATTTGTAACTTGTAGTCACACGATAGCACGTGACCTTTTTAAAAGTGCAAATCAAATATGATTTTATTTCTTACAGAATCACAAGCACTTGTTAAATGTTGTACGAGCAGATTTCCAACACCATAGGTGTGACTCAGACGAGACAGATGGGACAGTAAATAAATATTTCTTTAACGTGTATTTATATGAAGACCATCAGGTGTGACTTTACTGGTTCTACTTTAAACATTAGTGAAGCGATATCTGCAGAGCATGCAGCATTTAGTCCCTTTGTCTTACAAACACTGGTACTGTGTTTTTAACTTGTGTTTTAGTGCCATCTATAGGTAGTTTTAGGTACTACTACTGGCTTCAAAATTGTCTCCACACAGTGACACTGGGTTAAAATGTTTACCTCAATTATATCATAGTCACGTCAAAATTAAGTAACACCCGGCAGGGGAGTGGGTGGGGCTGGGGTCTCATAGAGGTTTGAACCTTCACTTCCTTACCTGAAGTTTTTCCAGCAGCTCCATATTTTGCTTCTTCAACTGCGCATTTGTCTTCTCCAGCTTGTCAAGCCGCTCAGAGTCATCAGGCAGTGGTCCAGATTCTAACATCTCATCTTGTAGAACGTGGTACTCCACTTCGTATGCTTGCAGCTGCTTTGAGATGTCCATCTCCATTACCTGGCCATCAACAGACAGATAGATGCCACTGAAAGACAGCTCGTTATCGTACAACACTCTGGTACCAAAACATTAAGGTCAATGGAAATGCACCTGCATGGAGTGTTCATCAACAAATAGCCACAAAAAGACCAAAGTGATCTTACAAACAGCTTCAAATCACATGGGCACCTTTCTGAGGTAAAAGCATATTCTGAAGCTTTACTGACACAGGCCAAGAGACTGGTCATCGACCCCCTGGCAATCACAAGTCGCTAGGGAACAAAGTGCATTCTTCGACACCAACCATGAATTTCAGTTATTTAGTGGTTGATGGATGTTGTAAGGATTTGAGCTTTGAGCTTTCACTAGTATCAAATTTGGGCCAGGATGCACTTCCAAGTGTTACTGTTTGTTTAATAATCTGGCACTGTAAAAAAAAAAAAAAAAAAAAAAAAAAGGGCAGTTTGTGTACCTTAGCAATGGTCTGCTCCATCTGTGTGTGGCTGAGGGCGGGGAGTGTCGTTTTCAGATAGTCCACAATGCTCTCAAAGCTGTCACACTCAACTATCTCCCCCTCATGGCTGCCCAGCAGACAGAGGGCCACTTTAAAAATCACCTCAGACCCCTCGACAAACACAAAATCTGAAAAACAGGCAATACATAAACCAGTAGTGATTTACGATGTTTTTCCTCGAGCTGTAGGGCTTAGCAGACAATTCAATTATCATATCCAATTTTGCATGTGAGCAAACAAACCATTAATCTAAAAAGAAAAAGTAAAAAAGATATGTATATACCAAAGATCCGGGACACAAAGCCGAGTGGGAATTGCGAGGCAAAGAGCGTGAGGAACCACGGCGCGGCGTAGAGGCTCGGGCAGATCTCGTGCTCCTCAAAGTGGTTGTACAGCTCACGGTGATAGTCGTGCAACAGCCTGGTGAGCTGGTACATCTGAATCTGCACACACACATAAACACAGAAGCAGGTCAAAACATGCTGCGTCAAACTGGTATGTCAGGACTTGTTAACAGAATGTCACAGAGCAATCCAGGAATCACAAGCTGGCAAGCCAACTTTTATCCAAACACAGAGCCCTTTAAGTATTATTATTTCATAGACTTGCTCAGACATGCGTCACGGCCAGACATTTGATGATCTGTGCTCTTTAACAGCACGTTAGTCAAAAGTACAACCAATAGAAAAAGGAAGCAGAAGTTAGCTCAGGCTAAAATTAGACAGTTATCAAGTTTTACAATTTCCTGACGGTATAAAGAAAGCAAGTAATACCTTTAGCTCCCTCAAACTGAGCCACTGTGCAGAGAAAACAGACGAAACTCCTCCTGACTTTAAAAACTGTGGATTAAAAGTGTAAACCCTGCAGGGAAGAGAGACCTGGCTCAGCAGTTACCTGAAGCGGATTAAATATTACCACGCCTGCTGATGCTGTAACTGCAGCGAGGTCAGATGATGTTTAACAGATACAGAGCAGGAGTGGTTTGACTAAGAGGTGGAGACACTTAACTGCTGTTTGCTCTTGGTAGCTAATAAAACCCACACAAGGGTTCATGCAGCAGTAAGTAACAGCTAAAAGTGAATGTTTACAGCATTATAGCAGTTATGCAGTAACAAGCATTTGTTACTGTATAACTGTTTCGAATAGATTGGAATTTGTTTAAACTGAACGCCACCTTTGGCAATGGACATTTGCATGTGTAATTGTGCACAGCATTGTCTTTAAGGTCAGCGGTGGCACTGGAGCTTAACATTTGCAAATATTCCTGCAATACATAATGAACACAAACACTGGACATTGTGACAGAATAAGTTGTTCATTCCACCCACTGACCTGCAGAGAGACCATGTCGGGTCTGTACTGCCGCCTTATGCCGAGGTCATACATGAGAAACTTCAGCATGTCAAAGGCCTGCTCTTCACCCATGTGGAGGAGCAGAACTCCAGCCACAAAGCTGATACCCTGGCAGTAGCCAACCTGTGCAGCACAAGAATTTAAAAAAAAAATGTTTAAAAAGGGGGTTATTGCAAATTTCACAACAATCATTACAGTACAGGCCTTAAAGTGAGCCACTGTGGGGATTACAGTATGTACCTCTGTATCCAGCAGAGAGTAAGCTTTCAGGAGGTTGTAAAGGGAGAGCTGTCCAGCGCCAAGCTGGGCTGAGAAGTACTGGTGGGTGGGGAAGGTCCGGCCTAATCAGAGAGAGATAGTGAGAGTAAATGTGAGAAAAATAACCAGGAATTGTTGTTTTCTGGTTAACACATTAAACTACGAGCAACAATACTGAAGTGACAGCTCTGAAAACAGTCGCCTTTGCTGAAGGACCAGCTGAGGCCATCTTCAGATTTCCGGCCTTCCTCAACATATATAATCATAAACAGATACAGCGTGTGTCATGTGAAAAAGAAAGTTTCTCTGTGAATTCCTGTCGAAAACTAAGCATAACCTTACTGTTCCCATTGGAATTCAGAGGTTCTGTAGCAGCCAGAAGCTAATTAATATATATATCAGATGTTTATATCAGTTTGCTGGTCTGGAGCTTTCAGGTGTGTGTTAACACAATACCACAATCTTCCCAGGAGTGGACGTACCAGCAAATTCACCAAAAGGTTAGACTATATAATGTTCAAAGAAGCTGTAAAACACCTGAGAGCTTAATCTCAAATCTTACAGGCCTCAGTTAGCATGTTAAATGCTCGAGTTCATTACAATCAGAAAAAGAATGAAGTATTGCAGCTTGTTTTGAAAGGTTTCCCAGACTTCCCTGGACTCGCACCAGTTTGCATACAGGGAGAACCGGTCAACCGAGGATGCGATCGCCACAGTGCTGCACACATTACTGAAGCACTTGGAACACAGGAACACCTATGCACGGCTCCTCTTTGTAGACTACAGCTCGGCTTTTAATACCATCCGGCCATACAAACTCCGTCCCAAACTCCACCAACTGGGACTTAACTCCTCTCTGTGCAACTGGATTGTGGACTTCCTCACTAACCGTAGACAGAGTGTCAGAGTGGGTAAGAACACCTCTTCCACCCTTGTGGTCAACACCGGTGCCCCTCAGGGGTGTGTTCTGAGCCCTCTGCTATACACTCTCTTCACCCATGACTGTATTTCCTCCTGCGCGTCCAATCTCATTGTTAAGTTTGCAGATGACACTACAGTGCTCGGACTTATATCCAACAATGATGAGACAAACTATAGGACAGAGGTGCAACAACTAGAGTCATGGTGCCACGACAATAACTTGGTCTTAAACACCAAAAAGACCAAGGAGATCATTGTAGATTTCCGGAAGAGGGGCCATAACAACCATCTGCCTCTCTTCATTGGCAGTGAGGCGGTGGAGAGGGTGAGCAGTTTTAAATTCTTGGGGGTAACTGTGACCGAGGACCTGTCCTGGGGCAACCATATCACCTCAGTTGTACGGAAGGCCCAACAGCGCCTCTACTACCTGAGGAGACTGCGGAGCGCACACATTCCCAGATCTCTGATGTTGAACTTCTACAACTGTGCCATCAGCAGCGTTCTGACGTATGGATTTCTAGTGTGGTTCCCCAGCTGCACCAAGGCCGATCAGCAAGCACTCCAGCGGGTGGTGAAAGAAGCTGGCAGAATTATTGGAACAAGTCCGCCAGAGATCAGTAATATCTTCCCCACTCGCTGTCTGAGGAGGGTGCACAGTATCCTGCGGGACCAACATCACCCTGCGCGCCACCTTTTCCATCTGCTGCCCTCAGGGAGAAGGTACAGGTCTATACAGGCCAGAACATCCAGACTGGCCAACAGCCTGTATCCACAGGCTGTGAGGCTCCTGAACTCTCTGCCCCCCTCTCACGGACAATAACCATATCCAACTTCTTAATAGCAATGAACTGGTCTGCATTGGTGCATCATATCTTTATTCTCTTCCCCCTCCTGACCCCCCCCTCTTTCTTAAATAGATAACTATCATATCTGATATCATATCTCACAGTACAATAATATTGAATGGGTTGCATTGTTGTATTTTGTCATGTTTCTCAGGTCTTTGTCTGAATTTCTACGAACATTATTGCTAAGGATTGTCTTATTGCATTGGAGTCACACTGGGTTAAATATGTACACTTGGGTTTTAAGGGGTATTTATTATTTTCTTCTTTTTTTTGGGTTGTATGGAAGCCCCAAACGCAATTTCATTGTTCTTGACAATGACAATAAATAAATAAATACTAAATACTAAATACTTCTGCAGTCCTTTGTCCTTTGGCCATAATGCACAGCACCACATTTGGCAAAAACCAAACACAGCATATCAGCACAATATGCTGTGAGGGGTGATGATTTGGGATCGTTTTTTAGCCACAGGACCTGGGCACCTTGCAGCCAAACAAAGTATTCTACAGTCAAATGTGAGGTCAAAACTGAGCCATGCAACAGGGCGATGATCACAAGCACACAGTCAAATCTAGATCTTACACCAGATTGTTCATAAACAAATGCCTGAAAACCCCAATGAAGTGAAGCAATGTTGCAAAGAAAAGTAGGCCAAAATACCTCCACCCTAATGTGAAAGACTGACAAACGTATACATGTTAAAGGAGAGTCTACAAACTGAATCATGGGGTGTACTTTCTTTTTCACATAGACACAGAAACCTTTCTACATGCATAGATTGTATCTGTATCTTCGATGAAATTCGTGGGTTTTTGTGGTCCTGTGCACACCTAAATCGACCAGAATGGCATGCTGCTGTGCGGTGAGCTGCTTGAGGAGGTCATGGTAGTGGGTATCCAGGGCTAGCTGACGTGGCGCGAGTCTGTGACGCAGCCGGTGCTGATGGGAAAGAAGCAACCAGACTTCCCCGCGTCTGCTCTTTGGAACTCCTGCACACAAAAAACCAGAACAGAAATAAAAGAAACAATGTTAACTTACAATGTTTTTTGTCCTGTGGGGAGTTTCAGATTTATTTATAGTGCTGTTTACATGCCACTGGTGATACGGTTTTCTTTTTTTCTTTTTTTAGTGCCTCTCACCTTGGCAGAGGGCACGATACATTTCTTCCTTGTCTTGTGGGACCGTTGTTCTGCCCGGGGCTGTCAGTTTTCTCTCCCACAAAGCCTGTGCATCTTTGGAGCACTCGCTCACTTCTTGGTAGTTAAGCTTCATCTTGCGGATGTGCAGCTCATCTCGGCTCGCTGCAACAGAATGTATATGAATATATATATAAATATCAGTATAAAAAGCGACCGACTCATATTTAATACATTAAAGTCCATTAAAGACTCAGTTTTCAGAAAGAAACAAAAAATGAGACTAAAGGCCAACAACTTCGAAATAAGCCCCTATAACTTTGGATTTGTAGCAAAGAATAATGACAATTAAAAGATTCCATGTTCCAGAGAAAGCGTGGATACAAAGCATCGCGGCTTCAACCTTTAATCACTGGATAACATGGAAACCCTTTTCACATAAACGCAAGCCACAATGGGCATGGAGAAACTTACAACAGCATAATGGGAGCACAAAAAATAACAGAAATCATAAAGTATGATCACCATGCACGCAAAAAAAAAAAGCTGAATCGAATGGTACAATAACCAGCCACCAGACGCATGCAAAAACATCTGCTTTTATTTTTATCCCAAATTCTCCTTTTATGTTGCTTACCTTCTATTAAACAGTTATTCACAGTTAGGTCCTCAGACCAGCATTGATGTCATAGTAGCAAACAAAGGGAAAGAGATGTGTTGGTGTTCAGAATATAAAAGCGACACATAGTACTTCTCCTGTCTGTCACTGGAAGCAACATATTTATTAGGTCCATGGTTTGATCTGGGCATTTACAAAATATTATGATCTTAGGTCTTTTCTTTAGCATTTTAAAGGGTAACTTCATTAATCATTCATTTATAATAAGATAGCTGTTCCCAATCGCCAAAAATAAAGCCCCAAAAGCCCCCAAAATAACCCACTTGATGTCATTTTTTAGCCATTTGTTTCCTTGGGTTTGCAAAGCTGCATCTGGACAATCCACTGTAGCACTACTGGTGCTATTATTTCAATCTTTTTATAAAGGAAAATTGCAAGACTTCATTGTAAGCTACACTACCGCTTCTACATAAGTTTGTCTATCTGAAAGTGCTGCAAAACCAAAACTAAATGTAGCTTTGCTCAAGTGTCCCAAAACCAGTATGGCGTTACCAGACTTCTGAAAATAAACAAAAAATGAAAGCGCTTAACGAGCTGCTAACCTCAGCTCCTTTATCTCTGTCCATGATCATAAAGCTTCAGTTGGGAATGACAAGACTTTAAAGATTGGAGTACGGGGTAAGGGTTGAGTGTAAAGTTTAGATGACAGGTGAAGTAAAGAGACAGGAGTTTAAATTATTACTGTAATAAATATCGTCCTAGCTTAATATAACTTAACAATGATATCCAAGCTTTCAAGTTATAGATACTAACAGTTACTGAGGGGAAAAAAATACTTATATACACTTTGAAGTCTTTTGCGGTAATATCAATATCAGTCATAGTACCAGGCTCCACTCAAGTTCACTATACTTTGTGTAGAATTAACTAGTTAGACGCACCTTCAAGTCTCTGATTCTCCTTCTCCATACGCAGCAGGAGGATCTGTTGGTGGATAGCTGTCCTCCAGAGAGCCCGGTAGTCAGCTGCCGTCCTCTTTGACTTCCTCTCTGACCCAGGGTCGCCTGCCTGGGGCAGCAGCTGACCCAAAGGGTCCAGAGATGAGGCACGAGGAGAGAGAGGCAACAGCTCCCTGTTTTCGGAGTCGTCTGAAACACAACATCCAACACATGGTAAATATAGAAAATATATTGTTAAGTCAAAACTTTTGGGACAATGAATGCTAGAAAATAAAGATGGGCTTTCTGCAGTGATAGTTCACAGATTGTTAGCACTCAGCTCTGCAGCTGCACACAGGCATTCAGACTGCTCTAGCTTCTGATCTGCTTTGGTTTTACAGTGTATTAACAGTCTCACTGCTCCCATCAATGCAGCAAAAAACACAGCAGGGAGCTCCAATAAACCCAGACCAATTTTAACTGAACAGAAGGACAAAAAAAACAGAATCACTTCTTAGAGACAGATGTTTGACTGTCAACATTGGAGACAAAACTCAAGAAAGCAGTCAAAAAAATGAAACTGTTTTTTCTGGCTTCAGTCAGAAAATATTCTAACTATATATGACTAAATCAGTCGTAAATAAAAATCATGATACAATTTTGCAATGCTGCTTGGTCAAAAACCTTGTTAGAGACTTATTCATGGGGGAAAACAATGGTACAAAGCTACTTGTTCTCCCTTTGCTCTTTTTCAACCCTCAGTCTTTGCATATAAGCCTGGAATTTAAAAATCTGTTTGAGGTACTGTCATTTCTTAGAAGAAGATTCGATCTGCCTTCTAGTAGATCTGTGGATTATACAAAGCTTTTACATTGTGTTTCTTGAACTCTTACAAGGATCGAGTTGCCAGACCTGTGTGCGGCATGGATGCAGATGGCTTGTTCATTGGCGATGCGACTCTAAGAAAGATCTTCTGTCTCCAGGAGACCCTGCGTGGGCTCAGAGGGAGACCCCCGCTGAACGAGTCACTGCTACAGCCAGACAGAGTCCTCTTCCTGCCTTCGCCATTGCTACGAGAGAAAACAGCAGCGTCAGTGACACCTGATAAACGAGTCAGGTGTCAGCTTACACAGACTCTCTTTTCAGCACACTTTTACAAATGCAGACACACAAACATAAGCACACATACACACAATGGTGGTAAAATAATACAAGCTCTCTGGACTGATAAAAAAATAGCCAAGATGAAACTTCAACATACTGCGCCAGCCACTAACTCCTTCCCAGTGTAAATGTTAATAAAGTAGCAAAGTCAGCATGTAAAAGAGAAACATCGGCCACAGCTGAGGTGCATGCACGTGTGTTCATCTGCTGAAAAAGAAGTTGGTTTAGTAAGTGGAAATGAAAAATCAGAACTGAAAAACTTCCCCACCTCGTAGCAAATGTTTTCCTTCCAACTCAGGAAATAAATGCCAGTAAAAGCTGACCGTGATGAACATTGTTGCAAGCTTGGCTGGTGCTGCTGAACTGAATACCGAACGTCCCATTTCTCATCCATGTCAACAGAGGTTTTCTACACAAGCGCACAATTACCAGCCTTGCAAGAGCAAAAGTGGGTTGTGAAAATTTAAGCAAATTTTAATTCAGTTCCTTTGAAAGTGCAGATTGCATTCTTTAGTCTGCACAAGAACAGAGCTTTTTCGCTTCTCGCTCAGTGTCGCTTAAACAGCTGGCGAGCTTGTTTAGCACGCAAGAGCCCGTCGGATCACGTGGGCAGTGAAAAACAGGAAGTGACCTTGATTGAAACAAATGGCACTGAGAAAACAATTGTTCTACACATATAACACTGTCTCTTTAACAGATTAAAACTCTTCCCCTGACCTACTACCTCTTGCTATGTTTTCATGCTCGCCAAGTCCCTAAGGGGCAAAGTTGTCATACAGTGCAATCAACAAAGCAAACTAGGCTGCGAGCACGTTGGAGTATTTAGATCAAGTGTCTCCAGTGCTGTGTCATTTAAACTTCTCATTCATCATCATTGTAAGCTGTGCTCAAAAACTTGCTCCTACTGCTGCACCATCAGGTATCAAACACACTATATTTGCTTATTTGTGAAGCTAACCATTAATAGCAACTGCTGAACATAAACGTATCAGGGAATCTTATTAGCATGACGAGTTAGAGTAGCAACTCTTGCACCAGTCAGGAAGGATGAAGGTTAAAGCTGTGAGACACAGTTATTAAAGCAAAAAGCTTGCAATGCACATGCAAATGCAACAAGGGAGGGATGCATCAGCATCCCCTGCTGAGAGAAACAGGAAGAGGATGGCTCCAGCTGCATACATGGTGTGGAAAAAAATGAAAAAGAATTTTATCCTAAGACAAATTTGCTTTGGATATACAGAAAAAGAGATACAGGGCAATAAAGCTGGGTGTTAAAAAGGTGTTGACAGCCAATGGGAATACTGCTACTGCCAGCAAAGAACAGCCTGTCCCTCCCACCCATCTCATTCCTGATGAAGTCCCCGGTATGGGGTGCATTTCAGTCTAAGCAAGGGGGGTTGCCTGAGCACCCCCCTCTCACCTCTTGAGGCTCCCACTGTCTGGAAGGGAGTTCAGGGAACCCAGTGAGCCCTGGTAAAAGCTTTTCAGGAAAGTGGGAGCAGTGAAGGAGGAGGGGAGGCTGAAGGTGGAGGAGGAGGACTCGCTCTCTGAAACACTGCGTGTTCTTGAAACAGCCACGGGACTGGGCGGGCCAAACATGAAATGCCCACAAATAAAGAAAAACATTACACAAAACAAAGAGCTTTCGGTCCAAGCACAGAAATGAATAAGGGAAAAAAAAACAAGTGGGGAGCTTATGAGGGATCAAAACAGTGACAGGAAACTTGTGATGCTATTGTTCGAGGACAGCGGGGCAGAAGGTGAAGAGATTATAGACTGATCAAAGTGCTGCAAATAGATTACAATGTCTGTGCACACACACTGTTGACGCGATTAAAAGAAAAGCAACCAGTTCTAATGATTAAGTTAGCATTAGCCATATCTTCAAACAAAACACAAAAGCTCAATCCAGCAAAGGCGGAAAGGGAGGGGATCTGTATAACTGCAAAAAGGAACAAATTATTAACTCCTGCAAATATCACCAAACAGACGCAGAACCCTTCTTTAAAACTGCAGAGGGTGATTAACTGTAAACTAGCTTATATTTACCTGCTTTGCAGCAACTCTGGGTTAACGGATTGCTGCCTGCGAAGCGGAGTCTGTTTGTTCTGTATTGGCAATTGGCCGTCGAAGGAGATGCGTTTTTTCACAGGTGGATGGCTGAAGGTGTGAGCGCGCCGACGAAACTGAAAGCCAGCTTCCGGGTCTTCGTCCGGGAAGGCAGGAGGGGAACCTGGGGGGGAGTGACCAGGAGATTCCTCATCCTGCTGAAGAGGACAGAATGTGTAAGGCGGGAAGCAGTCAGTCATATTTATGACTTCACTGTTTTCCAGTGATGCATATTTAATGATATTTTATATATATATATGCATACACACACACATTTTTTTATGAATGGCTTAAATTTCTGTGGATCATACAATCAAACAAAATGTCAGTGACAGAAGGCAAAAGTCAAAAAGTGAAAAATCAGTCCATGTTTCACTGGAAGTTAAACCACACGACACAGCTCACAGCCAAGTTAAACACTCAATCGCACACTCACCTATTCAACCCACAGCAAGCCTCAGTCCATGATTCAACTTTATACTCCACGCTATCACTCCGTGCTGCCTCATGTCTGGTGGCACAACTCCCACATCTATTGTATTCTAATGGCCAGTGTCCTGTGACTCACAACATCACACACCATTGGAGGGGAGGACCTCGGTGACACGCAACTGTACACGAAAGCCCTCCTATCTCCTTCCATCATGCTTTTAGAGACCTCCCTATTTAAGATCAGGGTTAGGTCATGCTGCTGCTTTCAATGCGCTCTTTTTTTTTTTAATGTAGCTGATGACATTAAAAAATTGAGGGCTACAGCTGATGACATTATAGACTGGAAAGAGGTCTGTTTGCAAATCACGCTAGACGATGATGTCATCTAACAACCTGATGCTGTTGTTAATTTTAGGAAAAACTGATGATAGAATTTTACTCAAATCAGAGACTTTTGCAGTAATCTCTCTTACGTCAGGGTCGAGAAGACAAATCCAGGCCACACGTGGCTCAGCAGATGCGTAACTGGACATCCTGAGTGGGATTTCCTTTTCACCAGCTCATCACATCCTGACAGAATCCCCACGAGACTACTTACTCATTTAATCCCAATCAAAGCAACTTTTTCCGGACTTTTTAAAGACATCTCAATGACAGAAACCTTTACTTGAACCTCATAAATTAAAATGATATATGTCACTCCATGATAAATGATCGCTTACATTTGTTAAAACCTGCAATAGCCAGTGTGGCTAATCATAGATAAAAGAAAGAGAAATAATAGCTTAATAAATTCCCAGACACTTGGAGCTGCCATTTGAAGACTGGTATTAATAATCGTCCTTACTTGGCGGTTAGTATTCTCAATAAATCTGATATGACAGTATTAACACATCCGGTGAAAAAAGTCACACATCTGCTACAAGGAGAGAGTATTTCATACTTTTGCAGCCTCAGTAAAACAAGTAACACTTCTTTTCTGTAGTTTTAACCCTTTAAAGTCTGTTTGCAGGTCTCCAGCAGGTTTGTGACTGTAGAGGCCGTTGTAATAATACCAAATTAAAATCATGATACAACACCAAATATTGCCTTTCAAGCTTATTAGAATTGTACAGTCTCTGTTTTTGCCTTATATGCTGTACTTTCATTGTATGTTTCACTGAATCACTATGGTGATTTCCCATTTTCCTAAAAAATTATGAAAAATGAAGGACGGCTCGAGACATTTGCACAATATTCTACAGCATGTGCTTTATGATGTGTTATATAACAATACAGTGGTTCCTCGTTTATCACGGGAGTTGCGTTCTAAAAATAGCCCGTGATAAGTGAAATCCACAAAGTAGCCAACGTTATTTTTTTTTACAATTATTATAGATGTTTTAAGGCTGTAAAACCCCTCACTACACACTTTATACACTTTTCTCAGACAGGCATGAACATTTTCACACTAATCTCTCTTGTTTAAACACTCTCTAAGTTCTAACCTTCGTAGAAAATTAAGTCCAGTATCATAGAATGAAACCAAAGTGCAAAATGTTTTGTCAACATATTTGTGTATGTTGATCAGAAAACTTACAAACATACAGTGCAGCACTTCAGAGTCACACTGCTAGCGATTGAAGATTTATGTAAATTTGACAAGCTGGACGCATTCTGTACTGTACAGAAGACACGGCACGAGATTGATTGACAATGGTCTATAGCCAATCAGGATGCAGAACACAATGCACGGTAAAAAACAAAAAACAAACAAAACAAAAAAAACCATGCAAAAAATCCAGCATCCCTGTGCTGCATCGGCATTTTAGTTACAAATGCGTTTGCTGCATTTCAAAGAAACCTCTTTAATTAATTCTAAGTATAGAATTATAAAATAATTGCTACACCAGCCACAACTTTATGTTGGGTTTGGTTTAGCCTAACCTAGCCTTTAGATTGTAAATTGGGTGCCTGGCACTCAATTGGTTAATTTGCTTGTTTACTTGTTCATCGTAGCAGCGTACTGCTAAACCCATCATGACTGATGAGGAGTCAGAGGGACCATATCACGCTCTCACTCCACATTTTGCACAGCAGTAACCACAAGGGAGCCAACAACCTTAAACGGCTCACTAGCATCTCTGTACACACGTTCCCTCTTGTACTGTTCTGCCTTTTTGTCAGTGCAAGCTTGATCACAAAACTATGTGGGGGAAAACGCAGCACAAAATCGTTTCTCCTCATGCGAAGAGGACTGTTGGCAGATCCACCTACTGACACTGATGAAAGTGAAAGTATTCTTATCGACCTGCCCCTTTCCCGAGGACACAGTTGGAATATAGCATGCTTTTAGATGCCACGGGGTAAGAGTGAGAAGTCTCAGAGTCCCCCGACTGAAGCTCTGGGAATTCTCATGTTCATCCTCAAGGACACTTACTCTTTCAAAACTGCTCATGCTTCCCATGCTTCCCATGCTTCCCAAGCGGCCGCGCATTCGACTGGCGCCCTGGTGACAGAGATGATTGTACAAAAGTTATAAAAACACAAGTGGGTAAATTTAAAAAAAATAAATAAATAAATTTTAAAAAAGTAAAAACACTCTTTTTTTTCTTTTACACAATTGTTTCTGACAAAAAGAAACAGCGATTAGATTAAGAGTGAAGCAGAAAGAAACAAAGGGAAAACGTTTCCTTGCTGCCTAACAGCATTATTGTTCAGCTAAGTCTCTAAGATAATAACAGATGGCAGCAGAGTTCTCCTGGACGCCTCTGCTAAGGAATTATTCTGCTGTCTCACTGGCAGATATGGGTCAATCCAAATCCCTGTGATGACAGTGACACAGAAACAGAAACCTAGAAGACTAGTAAGAGGTAAACATCATGGCGGCTCTACTTTCTGTCCGTTGCGGAGACATAAAAGACAGGGATAAACTGGGGGAAATAAGTAAATGGTTATAATAATATAACGGCAGGAAATGGGGAAGATAAGGCAGTGGCAGAAAAGGAAACATGTTTAAAAAGACCCACCCTTGCAAAGATATTCTCCAGAGAGCTAGTGAGGGATGAACGCGCTTTATTCTTAAAAATGTCGAGCTTGAAGCGACTGCCGGTGGCTGTGCCATCTCCTGCTGCTGAGCTGTTTGCTGCATTCTGTTAGACAGCAAAAGAAAAAGATTTAATTAACAAGACTTCAATGAATTTAATTATAAACCAAAACAGGTTCACTGTACGAATACAGTTGCAGATCCTGTGATAAAGCCTGCAAGAAACAGCCAATAGCTGCTAACTGCTTTAAAAGAAGTGGTGCTGCTGCTGGAGACTGCGCTATGATTGATAATATTTAGCATGCAGATCGCTCAGGGTATATCATTCCAAAGCAATTATCCACAATCCTCTCATACTTTAAATGTCGTGTTTCCCCTCTCAGCAACTCACAGAACGTAAACAGCGGTTCATTGTAGGTCTCAGGGAGAGGGACATCTACATCTATACAAAGCAACAAGCTTTACATTTAAGACAGCAGCTAAGGAGTTCTTTTACCATCAATATTTCTACACAATCCCTTTATCAACACAAAGTCCAAAACAAAACCTTAGGATACGGTCTGAGAAATTCAAATTTTATGCCATTTCATGCAAGCGATTTTCAGAACCATCAGGGGTCTGAATTGACGTTTCTCAGATTTCATGTTAAGGACCACTAGAAACATTTTAAGGATCCAGCCTGTCTGTTTGTTTTTGCTTTTCAAAGTGAAATTTAGAGTAAAACCAACAAATCGATCGACAACTGTGATGTCGCCAAGTGTCGATTCTCTATTCAACAGAAACACCACTTTGCTGGAAATTATTTCTGGACCGTAAGCTTTCTCGTGCCCTTACCTTAGGGGCCTCTCCAATGTGGAGGTGGGACTTTTGTTTGGTTTCACAGAGCTGTCTCAGATGAAGAATCACAAGCTCATTCTCCTCCTGGTCTGACGCAGGCTTCAGTCTCTGCAGAAATGAATGCACAAACACTCAAGTGTGAATCAACAGCTGTAAGAAATAATATGTTTGTATCAAAGTGTCACCTCCATTGCCAGACCTGAACTCGCTCAAAAATCTCAGCTTGCTCATTGTCGGTCAGCTGGGAGAGATATTTCTGGATGGATAACTTTGCTCTAGGTGGGTAGAGACCTGGAAACAGAGAAGATGAAATAAGCTGTACTCTTTAACTTGCTTTAACTCTGAGAAAATTCAATATATTCATGAGTCAAAGCCCAGAGAAGTGCCGGATGTCTGATGCAGGTGACATGACCTACCTTCAATCCTCTCGCAGAGCTTGTGCAGGTCATGCATGGGGCAGGCTTCGCATAGCTGGATCTGAGTCTTGTTGCTTTGTAAGGCGGCTGCTGTACTGAAGGCCTGCTTCAGTGTCAGCATCACCTCGTCCACCTGACACGCACAGGCGAATGAACACACACACGCACAAAGAAAGAGATGTTTGCCACATGCACTTAAGAATTTCATTTTATTTACATAATTCCTGTGACTCACCAGGGATTCACTGGCACACTGGAAAATGTAGCACACGTACTGACTGGGACCAGACTCTGAGTGGTGCCGACAGATGAATCCAAAATGGTCAGTATGTTTGATACCCTGGGGATGGGAGCAAAAGACAAACTAGCCTCAGAGGCCTGGGATAGCTGTGGAACTTTATAGCACCATAATGATGATTTAATTATATCATATTTAATTACTAAACAACCAACAAAGGTGAAAAGAAGTGTATTCTTACATTACTGACAAAGATCTGCCACTAAATTAAGGAATAAACACTAAAGGTCTGCTCTTGTGTAAAGATGAGCAAAGGCTCTCTGTGATTAGATTCCAGTTGCTAGGGCTGCAGCAGAGACACAAGAGAGACCTTTTCAGTAAACATTACAAGTAAATATACACCAACCTGACAGCACGATGAGATATCCTTGAAGTTCTTCTCCAGGACCACAGTTTTACTGTCAGGACTTATAAGGTTTACTTCAAAACGTCCAACCTATGAAACACGAGAGACCACGGTCACACAGAGTGAAGTAAAAACATGTAATAGATGCATGAAAAGTTCTCACAAAACAACACGGATGGGAGAGCATGTGTGTAAACACACTGGGATCTCCTGTGATGTTAAGCATTTTATGACTAGGACTATAATTATTCCGGGACCCGATTGGCAATAGAGATAAAAGACGCTCACGTGCGCTTTAAAATCAGGGTCAGCGAGTCTCCGCTAATGATTTTTCCTCATAATTGACTGCTACGTACAGTATCACATCGAGCGTTGTGCTCTAGTTTTTAAAAGTAGCTTCATGACGAAACAGGCATGGTGCGTGAGGAATGGCAGCTGGCTCACAGTGCGGCGCACATGTTTTTCATGAAGCAGCGACCGTGTGTTATCACAGGAGCAGTGGTGAAGTCAGTTTTTATTATTTTTTTTAATACCACAGGAGTTACGGCCTTATTAACTGGAACAGTTACACCAGGCCAAGCTGGTCTACACATTATAGCTGCCAGCCACGTGCACATAAAAATGATTTGCGGTGGTGTGAACCTCAGCAGTGAGAGTCTATGCAAAGGAGGCCTCCGTGACAAACAGCGCTGAGGCCAGCGACCATTTGGTTTTCTGGTGTAACAGATGGAATCAAGTTTTACAACACAAATTATGGTTTGGCATGAGGAGCTTAAAAAAATCCATCCATATTATTGAAAAGGGTATGTTTAGAGTGGAGTAAATCCAAAACAATGCAAAATAAGACACTCGGCCACCTGCGTGCACATACACGTAAGGTGGACATCCCTTTAAGCTCACTGCAAATTATTTATTAAGATATAAATGATGCCTTCAGGGCCCAGGTCAGTCACTTCTCTCCATACTAGACAAAGATTTTCATGTGAGAACACTGTTATTTTGAGAAGTGTTCTGCATCGAACCGAAGGAAAGAACTTGAACAGTCATTTGGACAAAGAGAAGAGAAGCGCTCTCACTGTGACACCAACACATTAGCAGCAGTACAGCACAGCCCTTTACTCCGTTCAACTTCTCCTACCTGAAAGAGCATAGTGCGGTTTTTGTCTGCATCCGAAGGCTGAACGTGATTTGGTGCGCTAGCGTGACGACGGCGTGTGGAAACCATGACGAGGCCTTCTCCCGGCTTCCTCTGCAGACTCCCCACCATGCTGCTGCAGCGTGTCCGAAACTCCTGGGGCTCCTCGAATCCCGAGTCCTCCTGGATGGACTCGGGGAACGCTCCTCGTAGGTTGCTCTGACTGCCGCTGCTGAGAATACCTTTACCTGGATCAGACACATCAAACATGAACTCACACCTAAGTTTAGAAAATTACATCACTAGAACCTTTAGTCGCTATTGATCTAATGGATATACTCCAGTGCTGTTCTACCAAGTACACAGGATTACCCAGTTTGACTGAATCATTAAATTAACCTAGATTTTTCTACTGACCTCTTGTTTTTAGTAAATGGTTTACTTGCCTCCTGATGAACATAAAGTGATAATAACAGAGTTATTATAATTGTGTATTTTTTACTTAGTTTTTATTTTAATTTCATTTTCATCTTGTTTGTAATTCAGTTTAGTTTCACTTGATTTTCTTGGTTCAGCTTAGTTTTTGTTAGTTTCAGTTTTAGTTTTAGTCTTTTTAGGAAACTCAGCGACCGCATATATTACCATAAAAACACAGAAATTTTTGAAAGCATACATTTAGAGTTCCAATAAACACATCCATCAATGTCTCGGTTATAATCATGTTTTTACCAAACTAACAGATACTAAACCCAAGGATATTTCCTATAAATATTTTATCTTTATTACAGTTTTTTTAAGTCTAGTTCCTATTTTTGCTTGTATAGCCAGCAACTTGATAATTACACAAATGTGGATGGCTGCCACATTTTGTGAAAAGTAAGCGTGCAACTTGCTGTTTTCCATTTGGAACACTAGCCTGTCAACATAACAGCGAACACAGTGTAATACAAGGAGGTGCACAAACAGAATAATCCACACTGAGTCAAAGTGAGCACTGTAAACCAACCAATAGAAGAAACATTATAATCATTATTTGGCTGAAGCTAAATTATGCAAGCAAATGTTGTCATTTTGGGTGCAGAACAGACACGTCTGTAAAGTCGCTCTTTGTCTCCTTGTGTTTAAACTTGATTTTGAGTTGCAAATCAGCTTTTGTGTCCTTGCAAAACTGACAGTAGCAGCATTTACTTACAACAATGTGGGACATGTGAACCTGACCAGCCTTCAAGTTACTTGTTGCTGTGCACACACACATCATTTCAATAAAACTTTTCCTCATCATAAATTTGTTTGAAGCGTTCGTCCCCACCTGAGGTCACGTCCTCCCCTCCAGGACCTCTGGGGTCTTCCATAGTCTCATTCAGAGCAGAGGAGAGCGGGTCTCCTTCGCCTCCCATGAGAAACTCCACAGGGGGGCTCTCCGTGGATCCTCGTTGACCGTTGAGGAGTCGAACGCGTTTGCGCTCAATCTCGTGCTGGCGAAACTTGTCGATGCAATCATCGACGAGCGTGGATGGAGCCTTCTTGTATCCGACCGTCACCTGGGATTTTTGCAACACCAACAGCATTCATTGAAGCCCTTTTTTATCTTAAAAACACTCCATTCTAAAGCCATATGCACCGATTCCTACCTTGCCACAGTAAAGCACTTCAAACTTCTGGGAGTTGTAGAAGGCCTCGTCGGTTTCCTGTTTGGGTTTGGAATCTTCCTTAAGCGCTGTTTTGGACACTTGGCGAATGTTACTAATCACCTCAGGGACCTGTAAGCGAGGCAAGTGGAATGAAAGGATTTGATGAACAGGAAGACAGGAACAAAGAAAAACCATGACAAAAAGACTAAGGGAGGTCGAGGGGAACACCAGCTTCGCAGACATTGAAAGAGCACGAGTATAACATCACCCTAAAATCTAAGACAACGAAATTTCTAACTTTTCGTCAGGTTCTGTAAAGTATGAACATGAATAATGCTTCATGTCATTCTCAAAATGACAAATAAAAACTAAGAAGAAGTAAGAAATTAACAGTAAAAAAATTACGTGGGATCATATCAATACTGTTGTTTTGGTTATGCATGTTAAGACATAAATAAAATAAAACCATATTTAGACTTGAAATTTAAATAACTTGAAAAGAGCAAAAGATTTGAACAAAAACTATAACAATAGACGGACCAAAAGCTACAGTGGTGTCAGAGGTAGGCGTGCAGCCATGGGGAACACCCACTCTCTACAGCAATGAACAGAAAACAGAAGGCTGGGGGAAACTCGAGACTTGAAGGTCGATAAGCCTATTGCTGCTACACTGTGGCACTTAAACATTAGCAGGCAGCTAGTGTGTTAGTGTCATCAAAGCTTGATAACAGCTTGCTTTGATAACAAGTCAAAGATTTAAAAATTTAAAAAAAAACAGGCAAAAGACAAGACAAAAAAAAAAACCCACCATAATTTAGGCTTTGAATACTTTTACAATGGGGACCGAACAATAGCAGTGGAGTCAGAGAGCAATGAATCACCGCTGCACTAAAATTTTGGCAGCAAACAACTGACTGAAAGCCTCGACGCTAAAGCTCCCTAAAAGAAGCAGAGTGCCTGGAACTAATGCTGCAGCCAAGGTCAGCCAAATACTGTGTTTAAGACAACAGTGAGGGCTAGAACAAACAGCAGCTCCACAGACTGCACACATCAGATCAGATAAGAGCTGGATACAGGCGGTTGAACAAATATATTTCTAATGTGGACTGGAGAGGGAAGTTGTATAGCAAAGTACATGGCGCTTACTTCAGAGGTGTGACCAGAACAACAGAGCGCAGAGAGGGGAGGGCAGGCAAACAGGAAAAGAAAAGCTGTGAATGAACTCAAACATCCTGACAAAGCCCGTGTCTGATTTTCATAAAAGGCAATGAGATCAAATGCACGTCTGCTACTGGGGCTATTTTAAAGTCCCACTTTCTAAGCGCCTGCTTTCCCACCTCCCCCCTCAAGGCCTTGCGCTTTTCCTGGCTGGTGACAGAGCGTTGCCTTGAGATGAGGAAAAGTGGAAGTGGCTGGGGTGGGGGTGATGCTCAGTCCTAATCCCACACTCCAGAAACTGTGAATGATTTTCAAACTGTTGGCTGACTTATTTCCAGGATAAAATAATATCGCGGTGATCATTTTAAGCTTCAGAAACAAATATCTGCGCTCTCTGTAAACGCGGGTTGTGAATAAATGAAAACGTGCTGTAATAACTTACAAGGGATGAAAAATAAACCACACATGGGATCTTGATGGCTACATTTTGTGTGAAAGTGCATTCTTCATTGGAAAAGACAGTGTTGACACTACGAGGTCGAGGTAAGCAAAAGGTCTTGTTGGCTGAGAACTACAGCTGGCCACCACAACACTTTGTCACAAAGGGAGGGGGGAAAAAAGAGACAGATTTGTCTAAACATTAAAAGGAGCTGCTTTATTATACATGAGTAAGATGATGCCGAAGCGTGCGATCAATTATTCCTTATCTACCCAATACAGAGTCGGCAAAGGTGCTCGCCTCTTGAAGGGAGACATGCACAGACAGGCAGGCAGAAAAGCTGTTGAGGAACTAAAGGAAAGCCAGCGTCCTCTTCCCACTAAAGCGGTTCTTTAAACTAGCGTAACATTCAGTGATCATAGGCTGGCTTCATTAAACGATATAAGCGACGGCGGTTGTGAAGCAATGCTTCTCTATAAACACCAGTAGCAGAGCAGAGCTTTAGAGCTTAGGTGAAAACAAACACGGGAATAGTGCCCTCTGAGCTGCTAGAGTCCTGAGTACTCTCAGTGCATAGCTCCCATCATGTCCAAGCGCTCTTCAAAAGCCCCTAATAACATCAGATCTTACAGTAGATGGCACATTGCTCTGCTGCTATTATCGGCAGCAATAAGCCAGACCGCTGAGAAGTTGCGGAGTCTCACGTTCGGCCACAATATCTGTGATTAGGCCTAATTAGGCTCTTTTGGAGGTGCACAGGTTATCACTGTGTCAATAAAAAGATAAGAATGGAAACAGAAAGCAAGCGAGAGATGAAACGTAATACCCCACGTCAGACCAGAAGCAATCAAAGATCGCATGCTTTTAAGTTAAAAGCATGCGATGCAAGTTCTTAGAAAGTTGCCCAAATTGAATAGAAAGACGGAAAAAACAAACAAACTGTAGCTTATTAACGTCATAACCATAAACTTCGATTTATGGAGTTGCTTTAAGGCCAAATATCCGTCTTTGTGTGGCTCTGGCTCTGCAAGGATTTGTTCTGATGCCACTTGACATTTAAAGTTTGACCTCACTGTAGCCTGTGCTTTTCCATGTGGCTGAGGACAAATGTAAGTTGAACAAAATTCATATTTGACCACAACAACAAGCAAGCAAACAAACAAAAATTCCTTATGATATCTTTACTGCCACAGTGACAAGATGTCACAACTGGAAATTGTAATGCGTCAGTAAAACGTCTATTTTTTTTTTTGCCAATACAAGTGTATATGTAAACATAGATCCTGGTAATTAAACAGCTATGGAGAGACTGTTTTTCACTTTGTTAGTGCTCTGATTTTACTGAAACTTAGGAGGGAACTCACAGCCATGTGCAAAAGAAACTTTTCATAGAGTTTTACGCAGCCCTGTGAAAAACTAAGTACACACTATCATTTTCGCAGCAACAACTTGAAGTAATAATTTTCTGTCTTGTATGACTTTATCAGTCTTTTGCATGACTGCAGAGGAATTTTGGCTTGCCATCTAAAACTTTGCTTCAGTTCAATGAGGTTTGCAGGCATTTATTTATGCACAGCTCTCTAAACGTCCATGCCACAGAATTTCAATCAACCTGAGGTCTGGACTTTGGGTCATTGCAACACCTTTATTCTTGTTTTTCAGCTATTCTGTTATAGATTCGCTGCTGTGGTTGGGATCATTGTCTTGTTGCATGACCCAATTTTCAGCCAAGCTTTAGCTGTCAGACAGATGGCCTCACATTTCACTCCATAATACTTTGGTATAGAGAGGAGTTCATTGTGACTGCAAGGCGCCCAGGGCCTTTAGCTGCAAAGCGAGCCCAGATCATCACCCCTCCACCACCATGCGTGACAGTTGGTAAGAGGTGTCCATATTCTTCCAAATCAGCCATACTTGTTCAGTATTTTCTCTAATTACAGTCTCATATGTAGATCTTGGGTTTTTCTGCATTCTCTCTGAGCGTTGCATGGGGTGACCTTGGGGTGAGTTTGGTGGGGTCCCCACTGTGCACCTGGCTGCCTGTCCTGTCAAAACTCACTTTTTCACATGACTGTATTTGATCCGGTGACTTATCTGTCACACCAAATTACCAGACAAGCAGCTTGCTAATAATATACATTTTTATAAAGTTAATCCAAGAACTCAAGTATTCAAAGCTGCTTGCTATGCTTATCTGACATGTAACAACATATCAGTGACTGCAGACAGTTTCCCTTTCATTGTGAACTGTGCACAGAATATCATGATAACCGGTTACAAATATGTGGCCTCAGAAATCTGGTCACATTAACAGACAGACACTGGGCCACTTTTCCTTCTCTGGGCAACAGGTGCACGTAATATAAGAAAAAAAGCTTTTCAATTCCTGTCTTTGGCACAAAAGGGAAAGGCACTTGATATAATAGATGAAAAAACAAGCTCTGCACGGTTTGTAAAGCTGAATGGTAGACAATGACTTTTCCTATTTTAGTTTAACAGTGTGTGCCACTGTGACTGAAAATGAACATCACCCACAGCAGAGACAACAGGTTACCCAGTGAGTGATTCCACAGTGGTACTGTTCCAAGTCAGAGCAGAGGTTAAAAAAAAATGATGCAGGGGTCTGTGGTTTATGCTGTGCAGGCCTTGAGTGTGTGTTGCTGGCTTGATAATAGCACAGTGGTGTTGACTGGAGACTGTGCTGAATGTGTGCCTATCAGTCTCACAGACAAGTCAAGTAAACATCTCCCACTTCAACTGAAAAAAAAAGTTTAACTTGTGTCCAAATCTTCCCTTTGATGCTTTAGCAAAATATTATCCATGGCATGTTAATGTTAGTCTTGTTAACCCTAACAGTGAACGCGTGAGGACCGAGGCTGCATTTCAAGTCCAGGAGGTCAAACCTGATTTTTAGCACGATGACATTTGAAACACATACATGAGAGATGTCACGTTTGTAGGCAAACTGCATATTCAGGGCTATTCCTTTATTTCTTAAATCCAAAAGGATCTAATAAGTTGCAGTGCTCTTGAAGACATCAAGAGTGTCTTTTCATTATAACCTTTCTCATCATTTTGATAGATGCCAAATCTCCTTACACAAGGAAGGCCTGTCATTTCTACAACTAAAAATAGATGTGAAACCATTCCTGCCAACCAAAAATAAAGCAATATTTTTTGTGTCTTCAAAGTCAGTTTGGAAAAAAGAGAAAACGCACAACGTGGTAGTAAGAATGCTCGCAATAAATGCTGTTTATGTATGGAAAATGGGACAAACAGACTGCTAGCAGTTGCCGCAACAGGGTGTTGTACATGGCAACAGAGTACTGGTAGAATTAGCCATGCATTCCACATGGTCCACCTTGCACACGTTGCTTGGGCTTGCTGGTTGCCAAACCAGTTCTCGTTGCGTAATAGTGATGAATGAGGTACGTCCAAGATACTTTTCTCACTGCTGCACACACATTCGGGCATTAGCAGAGAGGCCAGAGACCTCGAAAGTGTGCACGCCTTAAGCTTGCTGGCGCTTCTGCTCCTCAGTTTTCACTAACACACAAACATTGTGCTCAGCCCCCTGCACAGGAAACACGATACGGCACGGGCACACTTGAGATCAATGCAAAATGTGAGTATAACTAGATATGTGTTTGTGAACATTACTGGTGCACATTTCCTGAGTCAGTGGGAAAACAGGATTAGCATGAGTAGGGATGTTAGACTTCAGAATGGGTTGCATGGAATTAGGAATTGAGGTGGCACCAAGATTAAACTGCGTTTGTTTAAGAATCTTGTATAAATAACATTCTCTACCACCAAATCAGAGAAAAGATAACTCAGATAAACACTAGGGTAGGCTACTGAGTGCAGCAACTTCCTAAAAAAATATGCTATGAACTGCTTTTCAGAAAAGAGCAGAAAGGATTACTACCAATATATATTTAATCACAGACTCCCACGTTCCTGATTTCTGGCTGTTTATTTCAGTTATTACTCAAGAGTGGCATGCTGATCGGCAAGTGAATGTGCTGACTCAATATTGTATTCAGTTGTTGTCACACCACAGACACCAGACACATGTCAGATCTACAGCAGCCCCAAGAGCGCCGAGCGCTGCAACTTCAGGAAACACAGTCCCATCTTCTCCAGTCTGACACATGACGCTGCAAAAGGGATAAACCGACACAAAGACAGAAAATGCCACTCTATAATGGGAGCTTTCAGCTATCATTTTCCCTTCGTGGTGCAAAATTGGTGAAACCATATGTCTTTTCTTAAGCTCTGGTGCACTGAGCTTCAGGGCCACTGTACTTAAGATCAGGGAAAGGCCAGGGATAGATTAACTTTGACCAAAAAAACAACAACAACAACAACACAGTACTGGGTTTGTCATGCCCACCATCTAGTGGCCTAAATACTTAATCCCAAAACAAACACATTTTGACCAACGACTGATCAAATATTGTGCGAGGTTGAGATTAAATTATACAGCTTTCACCTTGGAGACATTTCACTTCAGGCTTAGTTGGACATCTCATTGTTTTTCAGTTTACAGCTAATGACAGGATCAGTCCACCCTTAAAAAAATAGTTTGCCTCACCATGACATCATATTTAATTTAGTCACATATACTCAGGACGTTTGATTTGGATACTTGCTTCAGGTCTTCTTAGGTGTAAAAAAAATATTATTTAAAGCTTTTTTATAAGTGTGTTCCTAATGGATCACCGCGTTACTTTTTTTGGCCTGAGTTTTGGTCCATTCATGCTCATGGTATTGAAAACTGTGCTGTGCAGAGAGGAGCAGGCCTACCTGGTTGGGGTCGCAGGCCTTAAAGACGTGACAGGACATCTCGGACTCGGGGTTGTCGGGCTGGCCCCGCAGGAGATAGGCAAAATAGGTGAGGTCATTGCTGTTGTGAATGAAGCGAGATATGAGCTGTGCTTTGTGCTCGAATATGAACACTGAGGAGTTGTTGCTGGTGGTGGGGACACATCGGATGAAGGGGGGGCAGAGGACCAGATGAACTTCCCTGGGCTGCATCACAGGGCCGCAGTCGCCTTTCTCGCACCGCCTGCGGATCTCGGCCACCAGCCACGGCAGCATGGGTAGGGTGGTCCGCCTGTCCAGCAGGGACCAGCCGATGTAAGTGAGGGCGAACCTGTTGTCCGACTTCTCCTTCTCGTCGTGACTCTCCATGTTGACCCAGCAGACTTTTCGCCCGAAACTCGATGACAACAACACAGAGCAAATCCTACTTCCAAAAAAACAACAACCCCAAAACAAAAATAAAACACTATCAATATATCTTTCCCTCTTGCCACCGAGGCTAGCTGTAGTTGTGTTTAGTTTGCAACACTTTCCATGTCCACATCCATACACAAAGTTTACGCAGCGCTCAAACAAACCTCCAACATGTGCTCGCCCTTTCGATCAGCTGCAACTCTCCATGATGTTCAGTTTTTCCCTCAAGGATTAAAAAAAAAGAACTTCGAGTGCTGTCTATTCGCTGTTTTACTCCCTGCTCCGCTCCACCGTTTGCTTAGGCGGAGAACCAAGCGCTAAACACCCCTGTACTATACTGTCCCAACCAAGATAGCTTGCCAAAAACGTGGCTTTGGTTGACTCCCGTGTAAACACAAGTCACCCAGAGAAATCTGATTTCTTTGACGCGTTGGACGTTGTCTCCGAATGCGCACGCAGGGCGGCGCATTTCCAACGTCCCGGTCCTGAAATCCTAGTGCACAAACGCTTCTTTGCCACCGTTGCGATTTCTCTCTGCAGATGAACAATAAAATACAGACACTGATGCTTGTTTATCGTCTTGCGGCGCAGTCTCCCGTCAGTGATCCTTCCTTCCACAACGCCTCGGAGGCGGAGCGGCTGCGCGCCTGTGACGAACCGCCCATCCATCCCATGTGCTGGAGGAGTGGGCAGCGCAGAGCCGCTGTGCGAAACGTGACAGGACGAGGCTCCGCCTTTCTCCACAGTACATTAAGTTTTACCTGGAAATGTTCTTTCTTCGTGGCACCGTGAGATGTGTTTTCAGCCCCCCGTGGCACAAGTGCCCTTGGTTCCAGCTCCCGTTGGTTGTAATTCTACCTGCCAACCGCCTCCATCAGGTTGAACCAGGGGTTGTAAAAACAAGCCCTTTGCAAAATATTATGTTTCGATAACATGTGCAATTTTTTTTCTTGCTAAGCAAAGTGAGTCCCGGCTGTTCACAAGTAGGTTAATCTCAGTCCCACCACTACTCGACATTCATAATCATATGTGGTGCTTTATGCACGGGAAGACTTCCCCTCAACTTAACGCTATAATATCCAAGCAGTCCGCCTATCCCCAAAATAGTACCTTAGCCATATATAAACTCACCAATGAAGCGGTAGCCAGGAGCTCTACAACCAAACAACCCCCGCGCTGATGGTGTGTACCTACTTTAAATGTAGATGCGTGCAGAATAGATACACAGCTGATCTCGGATCCTCATTGAATACCATTGTCAGTTGGTATAAAGTTAAAGTTGTACTTTAATTGGATTCGATTGCAAATAACATTCAGAATCCATAGACTGCAGTGCGTCACAGTTAAATTATCTTGAAATCTAAGGACTGCATAATCATTTTATAGTATCTTTGAAGGCCCAGGGATCAAACGTTACTTCTAAAACTACTACTTTACCATAAAAGCATACCAAAATGTAAGTTTTATTTCTTTTTTGTGAGTTCTTGAACCAGTTTGTAGGATTTCATTGTCTACTAATAAGAAGTGTGTAATGGCTCACTTGTAAAAGTTGAAATATTCATTCAAATAACAGTTAATTCTTAACTCCAATTATTACTTACTGCACCACTGCAATGGTGGGTGTTCATACTGACTGAAGCAGCAGTCTAAAATGCTTAATTATTCAAAATAGTTTTTTAAAAATGTAAAAGTTCTCACTCTCTACAAACGTTATCAGAAGCTGTTCGATTGTTTATGCCCACCCATCGGTCCACAAATAGCTGGTCCAGGCTTGGTAGTTGCTAGATATTTTAGTCTAGTGGTTCCCAAAGTAGGGGTCGAACTCCCTCCACAGGGTCACCTGAAGAATCTCATGGGTCATGAGATTATTAGGAGGGATGGAAGATGAAGCTGCTATGCACGTTCACAATTTTCAAGGTACACCTGTTCATCTGCTTGTTAATACAAATATCTAATCAAACAGACGGCAACAAAATAGGCACGTAGACATGGTCAAGATGGCCTGCTGAATTTCAAACTGAGCGTCGGAATGGAGGAAAACAGGGATTTAAGTGACTTTTACTGTGGCATGCTTGTTGGTGCCAGACAGGCTGGTCTGACTGGTCTTTCAGAAATTGCTGATATACAGGGATTTTCCAACACAACTGTTTCTAAGGTTTACAGAGAATGATCTGAAACAGAGAAAACATCTAATGAGCAGCTGTTGTATTTGGGGGGGGACCAAGCTTGATAGGAAGGCAACAGTTACTTAAATAACAACTCATTACAACCCAGGTATGTAGAAGAAAAACTCTGAGCAGAAGACCACACCAGGTGCCACTCTTGTCAGCTAAGATCAGGAAACTGAGCCTACAATTCACATGGATTTCTGCTTTTACATTGAGATGGTGGGGTCAGAATTTGGGATAAACAACATGAAGGTATGGATTCATCCTACTTTGTATCACGGATTCAAGTTGGTGTTGCAATGATGTGGGTAATATTTTTTTTGTATACTTGAGGCCCTTTATTACCAACTGAATATCATTTAAGCACCTTAACCAACCCGAGTATTGTACTGTAACCATGTCCATCCCTTTATGACAACAGTGTATGCCTCTTCTGATGGCTGATTCCAGCAAGATAACGTGACATGTCATTAAGTTCAAACCATCTCAAACTGGTTTCTTGAACATGTCAGTGGGTTCACTGCACTCAAATGGCCTCCACAAGTCACCAGATCACAATCTAATAAAGCACCCTTGGAATGTGGTGGACAGGAAGTTGGCCTCATGGATACACAGCTGGCAAATCTGCAGCAACTGTGTGATGCTAACATGGACCGAAATCACTAGGGAATATTTCCAGCACCTTGTTGAATCCATGCCATGAGGAATGGATTCAACATTCCTAAGGGAAAAGGTGGTCTAACCAGTGGTCTAACCAGTACTAAAAAGGTGCAACTAATAACCAGTAATGATGTGTTCATTTTAAGAGCATCTATTTGATCTTGATTTGCTATGGTTTGCATAAATTTACTTTTGTAAAATGTATTAAATTGTTGTCTTTTGCAGGCTTCCAAAAACAGGTAAAATATTAGTGAGAAAATTAACCACTGAATCTATTTTTAAAAGCCTTGGTTAAAGACATTATTTCCCTTTGAGCTGTAGAGTCAAAGTAAAGTAGTGGCAAAAATGTGTTATGGACTTCTAAGACAACCGCAACAATTAAAAAGTTGGACCACTTTACATCACATGCTCTACAAAAAGACAAATCAATATTACATGTAATATTATTTGAATATATATTAGTATGTAATTTGCTGTATAGTGCGCTACTACAGTCTCCTACCCCTGACAAAAATATAACAGATTAGGTCACTGTATTGTTTTCATTTCTAGGGTGGGGGGTAGTTTAGTGTAAACATACACACTCACAGGCAAACTGAAATTTATTACAGACTGAATCACATCACACACATTTGGCAACACATATATTAGTCAGATTTTGCTGGCTTAGCATTTTAAATATATAATGCATAACTCTAAGCTAACCCAAGGCTAGACATCCTAAAAGTATTATCAAGTGGGAGGTTGCGCAATCTGTGGAAAAATACAAGCACAAAACTGAGAGTTGGTGTTTTGAGACAACCAGCAAATAAACACTTATGTCAAAGTTTCTTCCGTTAGTTGCACATAAACCTGGTATAACTGTAACAAGCACTTAGGTGTGCTAACAATCATACAGTCTCCATAACAGCTGCCATCTCCTTGAACTGTTTGTAGAAGTTCTGCAGAAAGAAGAAGTAGGAGAGGGATAAAATATCATGAATAAATAACACCAACAACACTACATTCACATGAAAAAAAAAATACAAAACCTGGAACTGTGGGATGGTCATCTCAAAAGACCTCTGACAGATTTGTCCTGAAGGCTCAACAATCTTCAGCAGCAGACACACAAATGGGGAGTTGAGAGATCGACAGGTGTCTGAGCTCACTGCCATGCCAAGCTTCCACTGCATGTCCACCAACTAAGGCAAAACAAAGTTCCATCAGTTTTGAAAGAGAAGAGGAGAAAACGAGAAGTTATATGTTCAGGGGGGGCAGAATATATATACTTTATTTCATTAAACTTGGACAAACCTGACCGATGCTGAGCATGGCCTGGGCCTCTTGTTGAGTGTGGACTGACACACCATGTTCACTCCACAACTTATGCAAGACCTGAAGGGAAGCTTTGGTCCACTTGGTAGAGCCTTCTTCCAGCTTTGACACAAGTTCATCCCCAGAGATGTTGCTCTTTCCAGCTGACCTAGCAAAAAAAACCACTACTATCACAGCCTATAGTAGGACAACATCCTACTTTATGTATAATTTGGCCTTTTTAAGTGTGCTATGTAAGAAACAAATGTATGGAACATGGAAGGCACAGTTATCAAATTCAGAAACTACATACTTTATAAAAAATTTAAAAGAAATGTGGGGGAAAATACCGGAATGTTAGCAAGAGAAATCTGATCATGTCCTGCAGAGCTTCATGATCAAGCCTCACTTCAGCTCTCTGAAATCTCTGCCCACAAAAAAAACAAACAAAAAAAACCCCCCAGAAAAGGTCTCAAAAGAGGAATTTGGGAGGATAGGTTATTATAAGTCAAATGTATTCTAAAGAAAGGGTGACTCACATCAGAAATTTCAGCTGAATCTACTCCTCTCTTCTGCCCTTGAAGATAAGTCAGTACGTGCTGACACTGTGGAGATTATTGAAGATTAGCTATCAGAACTGCAGCATAGCCTCCACAGCTACACCACATCCTATGGTACTTGTGCACAGTGGTTGCTAATAGCCCTGAAATGAGCGCTATTTTGGTCAACAATAACATCCTCCAGTAGCGAGTTATAAAGGCAGTGTTTTGAAGTTGCACAACTGTTTAAGTTATCGGAGTTTCATAATACAGTCTGAGCCTGTGGCAGTGAAACTAATGAAACAGCCCCAAAACAATTTAAATAAAAGACTTATATTTACAAGTAGCTGTACGTGATGCTCAAGTAATGGGAAAGACCCAGAACGGAAATGGGGAGAGTTGCAGAAGGAGGGTTGTCTGCAGCTGTCACTGTAAATACTATTTAAGTCTACTCTGTTTTCCTAGCTGCCACTTTTTTCCACCCGTATAGTAACATACACAACCAAGGACAGATACACTCACCACATCTGCTAACAGATCTGGAGAAATCCTGCATATGTTGTCCACAACTTTGTTGACGCCTTGAATACAGAAGTGAAACAATTTATTTATCACAAGGTTTTCCATACTTCTTTTTAATGCAGTCACAGGCATCATGGGAGTCTAATGATAGTACTTGTGTCTTCTTAATACTTTTTGTTTTCTTTCTTTCCCAAGAGCAGGCAATCACAACTGCAATAGCATGATGATATAAATTATCTAACCCGGAAATAAATATAGTAAATAAGATAGTATATAGTATAGGCCTTACCTGAAGAACCTTGCATAGTGATTTGTCAAATAACAGTGGGTAAACAAGGATAAAATAATAATAATAATACATGTAATAACTAATACAAGAGGGCAAGGTTCATTTAGCTTTTAAAACATCTTATTTTGGCTTTATTATTGAGCTGTAAACATTTGTGTATTTCTGCATGTATGTTAAAGTAGCATTCATTAAAAAGGGGTTAAGGGCTTTTAAGCATTAGGAGTCAGATGCTGGAGTCAAATATAAGTGGGGGAAAGACAGCGACAGGAAGTCTCTGTGGTTACAACGGTGTTAAGTTAATGCTATGCAGTGGCTAAATTAGCACATATTTCCTGGGTGAAAGCCTAATCTATTCTTCTTAATTGCCATTTAAACAACATTCTACTGAAGTGGAGTAATGTGAACCCACCATATGACTCCTCTGCTGCTGGCATCCTCTCTGTCAGGCTCTGGGTTTGACCACGGTATTAGCGCAGCCAAATTAGCGACTTTCTCGCTAAATTTGACCACCGAACAGATTGCCTTGGAAATTTCAGAAAACGTTTAACGTAATTATTGTATTATTTACAAAAAATAGTAGTTATGAATAAATCGGCTTCTTAGATCAACTAACTATCTATTCTACGTCAATTCTGTTCATTAATGCTCCTTCCTTAAAAAAAAAAAAGTCTTCTTCTTTGGTTTTATTAGCTTATAGAAAATCACTGTAAACGGTGCATAGCGCCATCTGCTGTAGCAGATATTTATTGTTCTAGTCTTTTGCAGAGTCAGCCGGAGAGGTGGCTCATTGACTCTAAATGGTCAGGATTTTATTTGGGGAAATGACCAATCAATATTATTTCTAGTCCTCAATCACTGATTTCAAGAGAACTAGATAAGTGGTAAAAAAAAAAAAATCTGTCAAAGTGGCTGGTCTAATTTAAAGCTCTGCTAGGTTAAATCTCTGATTTATCGTCAATATAGTTGTATATCTGTGACAGATTTCTGTCCTCCTCTCCCCCCCTGCACAATAGCCTATTAAAAACATGTTTGCTCATTTTTTTAACTGAACACCCTAATAAATATCCAGTTGTCTTCAGTACTATTCTACTGAAGTTTATCCATTAAGAATTCATTCATTCATTTGAGTACAAAAGTTAAAATGAACTTATTTCAATGAACTCATGAGAAAAGTCTTTGAAGTTTTGAACAGCTATGCACAATTCTACCACATCTGAAATTCAATATTTGGTATAATCACTTCTGTTACATGCATTTTCTTGTCATTTCTTAAAGTAGTCTGTAGGAATAGTTCTTTAGGCTTTGCATGTTGCCAAGGTGTACCTACACTGCTTCAATAATGTTGAGGTCTGGGCGCTACAGGGGCTAGTCTATGACTGATAGTGGTATTTGTATGTTTTTCTATCCAGGTACACTTTTACTGCAATGGCAGTGTATTCAGGATCATGGTCATGCAAAACAATTAAGCTGGTGGCAGTCAGATGCTTTCCAGAGTGTAATGTAAAATCTGATGGTACTTTTCTGTGTTCATAATTTCATCGATTTTGACAATATTCCCATCACCAGTTAATGAAAGGCAGGCCCAAACTATAATGTTTTAACCTCACAGTGTGGGTATTGATGCCTCTCTCTTGACCTCATCCATACATAACGACAAAGATTTGAACACAGCAGTTCAAATTTGGATTCATCACCTTATAAGACCTGTTGCCACTCTGTGCCGTTCTTGTGTAGTTTGGTATCCCTCTGTCTTTTCTCTCTGATTCTCTTTCTTATAAATTGTTTTTGACAGCCACTCTTTCTCTGAGATCATTTCTCATGAGGGATCTGCAAAGAGTAGATGGATCAACTGAAGGGCCAAATGCATCTCCCAGGTCCTATGTCAAGTCTTCTCTGGATTTTTTTCCTATTTATTAAGGACATGACTTTCAGATATTGTTCATCTGGTGGTGGATAGAATAGTGCTTTATTGTCATTGTGTATGTACAACAACAAAAAATGAATCTGTTTAAGTGGCTTAACAAACCATCACTCCTCTGAAAATGGTCAGTGTACAAGGACTGGACTGAAAATAATTCATAAAGCAGCCCATGTCCAAAAAAAGCCTGGAGAACTATGGCTCAAAAGCACTTAAAAATTACACCAAAGTCTGGCTCATTGGAAGCAAAATATGAAAAAGTAAGTGGTGGCTCAAGGCTTTTTTGCAGAGTATTGTATTTCTTAGTACAATATCAATAAATCAAACTAAAGGGTTGAAAGCTTCAACAAACCGAAGTCTTACACACTCACCAGTTTAATCATGATGTCTTGATGATTTGCTGCCTAGGTCTCTGATTTATTGATCCCCTTAAGTTCAATAAGCCTCTTCAGCACTCTCGAGGTTGATGAACAGCTGTTTTGAATCCCTGCCAAATAGTTCAGATGAGGGACTAGGAGAAAGTATAGGGTCAGAGAAAAACAAAAATACATCATCAGACCACTAAGCTTATAACACACAGTCATTACCATGTAATTACAGTCAGTTAAACACTTTAGCAAAAGATTACTGAATAAAATACTACTAATAAAAACAATAATACAACAATAATATACATTAATAAAAACTTACTACCTACTTAAAAAAAATCTAGAAATACATCCAACAAACAATTGTTTTCCTCACATGATGGTTTCAGTTTTGGCATAATTCACAAAAAATAAGACGATGAAGGTATACCACCAAAGTGTTATGAATCAATATTGAAAGGTATGTTATGAAACCTTGTTGACTAACTATAACCACATAAAGAAAAATATTTTTGTTCTTTCTGTTTTGTTGTCGTTTTCTTTAGCGATTGAATTTATGGCCAACAACGCCCCCTACTGGTAAAAAATAACACTTAGATTAATAATTTAAAAATGAAATAATTTAATTGAGTGTGGTTCTTGTTGTTCATTATTTTTATTAATATTATTATGGTGGTTAGATCATTAAGAAAAACAATGACCAGTGTCATATTATGTCAGTTAGATGGTATATCGGGGAATATACTTAAACATCGTCCATCCCTGAGCGCAAAAATGCCTTTATCTAAGCTCCGCCCATAGCCCTGGAATAGTCCACCGAGGCTGAAGATGGTGGGATTACCATACTTTAATGTTCATTTTGTGTATACAGAATCATATTTAAACGATTTATAATAAACATGTTAATGCATCCATATATGTCGCATGCCTTATCGAGTCTTTTGGGCATTTTCTTTGGGTAGTTATGGTTTATTGATAAAGTCAAGTCACCCCCGCGGATCCCACAACGTGCGCCCTCCAGACGCGGAAGCGAATCGCAGCTGTCAAACAGATTTGATTGTAAATCGGACTCAGCACTACTCTAACGGGAAAACATCACTTAGCTGTGCTTCACAATGGATTCCCCACGTTGGCTGCCTCTTGAGTCAAATCCAGAAGTATGTTTTCCTGGTTTCCTTCAGAACATGTTGTTTTATCGAAGTTATTCATTCTCAAACATGTGAGAGGCAGCTAACTTGAAGCTATCAGAGAGAACAAAAGCTAAAGCCGTTGTCGCCGCTTTGCTAACCCAACAACATTTTCATTAACGTTTTCCATTTGTGTCTTCTCATTTCAGGTCATGACTAAAGTAAGTGTTTTCTTTTTATATTTTCCGTAAAACACGATAGAGTAGTCAAAGCAAATAACCAAACCGGTTCGGAGAGATGCAAGGCCTACTCAGCAGCGGTGTTGCACCTAATGTTATTGTTAAAAGGTTCATATTACATAATATGATGTAATAATGTCATGTAAACAGACTGACAGGAAACAAGAGTGAAGAAATCTGATAAATTTAAAGTTTTGTCAACTTGCCCTGCTTCTAATTTTAAGACGTTCAGTCATTTTCCTCATACTTTTCATCCAACTTTCCAGCTGTTTCAGTCTGCAGATAGTGCGGTGTGTTTGATGTCATTCGCAGGACGCACACTAGATGATTACGTTACACTTTATTGCACAGGTTCCTACAGCTAAGAGTATTATGTAGCATAAATTAAATGGTGTTTTATTGATACAGATTAATTAATGTCGTTCAAGTGTGTAACTACTCAAAAGTGGGCGTGAATATGAAAATAAATCAAATTTTGGGCGCATAGACGCAGATGATATAGTAATGGATTACCGGTTTGTAGTCGAGATTTTGAGTGAACTCTGATATTGTAGGATACTGTAGTTTGTTTGTTTGTTTGGGGGGGGTAACCAAAAAACTATTTTTAAATTGTTCTTAACACTTGTTTAATACAAACATCAAACAGAATCGCAACTGCATCCTCCAAGCACGAATCATCATCCTTCTAAATAATTTTTCACCAAATATTAAACATTATACACTTCATGAAGGCAACTCTTTTTTTTATTTATCACTTTTTTAGTTTTTTGCTGATAAACTGACTGTTTTAGCTGCAGAAGGTGTCATTTAGCAATTGAGTGTTTGGTTGAAATAAATAATGAAGGAAATTTGTATTTTCTCCACAAAGTGTCAAAAATACTTTCCTGAAAACGGTGTTACTGTAAAAAGTGCTTCTTATTATGTTGCTATTCTATTAACAGTTTTAGTTTTCAAGTTTAAATTCCTGACATACAATGGCATAATGTTTAATTCTATACCAGTTAAATTACATTGAATTGTCAAAAGTCGAATGTTACAGAAATATATCCTTTTAGGTAGAAATCTAATTTTCAGATGGTAATTAGGAGCCAGCTATTGTATTTATTTTAGATTTAAAATGTCTAAGTTTATTTTGATCTGCATGAATTTGCACTCCGCTTGTGTGTAGTTTGTTAGCTGTCTGGGTATGAAGCCAACCTGGCAGTTTGGGGATGTGTATGGATTGGATCCGGAGCTTCTCAGCATGGTACCAAGACCAGTGTGTGCGGTGCTACTCCTCTTTCCAGTGACAGAGAAGGTACCTGTTATAAGTCACGTATTTTCATTATCCATATGTCAACTTTACATCTGGTTAGGAAACACTGTTAAACTGATTTTCTCTCATCTGTCATGTCTGTCTAGTATGAGGCATTTAAACAAGAAGAGGAGGAGAAGCTCAAAGATCAGCCTCAGGTTTCTCCAGACATCTACTTCATTAAGCAAACTATTGGAAACGCTTGTGGAACAATAGGATTAATTCACGCTGTGGCAAACAACCAGGCACATCTGGAATTTGGTGAGTTTTCATTATATTTTTTATTGAGGTTACTTTAATGATCATTTAGCTTTATTTAGACAGTTTTTTTTTCTATAGCCATCTATCTTGTTTGGTTTTTGATGAACTAATGTGCAAGACCCTATGCGTGTATATCAGTGAAGTTGGTGTTGCTAGGTGCCTGTTACATGCATAAGAGCGGCAGAATATTAGAAACACCATCAACACTATCCAGCGTGCCCAAATAATAAACCAAATGACCTTGGTACAAAACCTATAACAACTTATACACCTGTATGTCAGTGTCAAAATCCATTCAGCAGCTACTTATTAGGTATCTTGCTAGTGCCAGATTGGATCCATTTTGCCTTTGGAAATGACTTAATTCTTTATAGCACAGATTCAAAAAGTTGCTGGAAACATTCCTCAGCTATTTTGATCCACGTTGATGTGATGGCATCAAACAGTTGCTGCA